TTTCAAAGGTTTCACTTTGCTTTTCAATCAGTTAGATAGATGACGAACCTTTTTTGTATAAATCGTTGTTAAGCACATTAATATTCAATAGGTGACACAATCCACTTTCGGAAAGAAAATCATCAAGATAACTTCGGAACCGGATTATAGTTTCACTGCATCGGAGGTTCATTGGTAGTCTATTCCACATGGTTGAGTAGCGAATAACGAAAAAATTCTGGCCTAAATTTGTGTGGGTTTTAGGAATCGCTAAAATATTTTCCTTATTGCGTAGATTGTGGGACGGTATCATAGAGTACGAAGGGGTAGATAGCGAAGATTAAGAAATACTGTTAAGAAGCCGGTAGAGAAAGATAAGGTTTAATTTGATACGCCTGATCCAGAGAGGTTCTAGTTTGAGTTGTTGACATCTTTGGTGATAGTCTTTGTTGTCAGAATACCCCAAAACAGCTTTGGTGAACCTTCTTTGAACACCTTCAATTTTAATCAGGTCATTATGCCTGCAATTACTGTAAACTAAAATACCATATTCAAGAATTGGTAAGATACATTTTTTGTATAATAATAATCTCGATTCGGTATTATTGAAATCAATCATTATGAATCCGATGAGCTTTCTAGCTTTGGATACTTGAGATGCAATGTGTTCTGAAAAGTTCAAACTGTCGCTGTATCTTAAACCCAAGTCACGAACAGTGTTGAGAGGTTTCAGTGTATGTTTGTGTATAGCCAGATTTAAATTAAGGCAACGGTCGATGTTAATAAATCCACTTTTGTCAACATTAAGTGGCAAATTCCACGAAATAGTCCATTCGTACAACTTGTTTATTTCTTCTTGGATTACCGTTGAAATATAGCTTTCTTTGGTGGGAGATGAGAATGAATAAACCACTTTTAGATCAGCAAAAAGAAAAGGTTTACCATATTGAAAGAGGGAGCAAACGTCATTGATAAAAAGGAGAAATAGTAATGAACCATTTACACTTCCTTGTATAACCCCACTGGTTACATACACAGGTTTGAGTAGCAAGATCCAAAGCGGACAATTTGGCTACGTTCTTCTAAAAATGACTTGACCCAAGATAAAACGGGATTCTGTATTCCATGTGAAGAGAGTTTTAGAAGAAGTTCGTGTGAAACGCTGTCGAAGGCCTTACGAAAGTCGAAGTACAGAATTATCACAGACTGACCAACATCTCTTCTCTAGGTAATTTGATCAAAAAATTCCAGGTGCGATGTGAAGCATGAGCGTTTGGTCATAAACCCGTGTTGGGATGGGCTAATCAGACTAGCCGAAAGCAAAAATGATAATAGCTGTTTGTGGATTATTTTTTCCAAAGTTCTTGACAGCACGGATGTCAAATTAATTAGTCTGTAGTTAACAATATCACTGCGTGATCCGGTTTTGAATCTGGGGGTGATAAGAGATGTTTTCCATACAGATGGATAGGCCTCATATCCCATAGATAGGTTGAAAAGTTTTAAACAAAATGATGCGAATTTTCTTCTACCAAATTTAACAAATGATGAGGGAATCCTGTCAGCTCCACCGTCATAGGACATTTCAAGGCAGTTATGGCCTGCTTGATGTTGGAGGGTACGAAATCAATTTTCGACAGGTGTCTGCACGTCAGCATTGGAAATGTATCGATACAGCTTTCAGTTCTAGTGTTATAGCACTGCGAGAAATGCTGACTGAATTGTTCGCAAATAATATCGGGGTCATCAATAATTCTTCCGTTAAATATGAATAATCAGGTCACGCCAAGAGAATTTGACTTCGCACGCGATTTAAAAGCCGAAGTATTGATAATTCTGGGTTCTTATTATCTAGCGCTTTATTTTCTTTATCCATAAAATACTTGCGTTTAGATGAAGCACTCTTGTTAATTAACTTAAGTATACTCTGTAGTGTATACAAGTCATTATGCTTGTGGTAACGGTGTTTTAATTTCCTCAGTTTTCTTTTAAAAGTTGTAAAATTATTCTGGCCCCTATTGGCGTTATAAGCCGCATGGCTAATAATTAGAGCAGTGCAGTCGAGGCAGTGTATCAAGTTGTGGTATAGATCAGAGATCGCAATGTCAATATTATTTGTGGTAAAATAAGTTTCACATGGCAAACAACGAATAAGACTTTCAGTCCGTTTCCAGGTTTGTTGATCAAAATGTCTACTCTTGTACATCATTCCAGCTTTAGAATTCAATTGTATGGCGTCGAAAGAATGAATGATACACAATATTACTCTGTGATCACTCTTAAAAAGCTCTTGACCAATATTCACTGAGATAGAACCTATGTTGATTGTAAATAGTAAATCAAGTATATTATTCATTCTAGTCGGTTGTCGGACCTGTTGGACCCATCCATAAAGTTCTAGTGTTTCAACTAACTTGTCATGTCGACCTGAAACCGGAGTCGAATCCCATTTGATGTTTGGCAGATTAAAATCAACTCCGATGATTTTAAAAGTATGCGGTTGGTGTGAAGCAATGGAAAAGATGTTTTTTAGTAATCTGTCAAACCTAGAGTCTGCATGTGGTGGTCTGTATGTGCATCCCACCAGTAGATAATTCCGAGATCCACAGTTTACAGTAACCCAGGTGGAGTCGTCTATAGCATCAAGGGATTTATCCTCAAATTTGCAGGCCTGAATATCCGAACTGACATAGATAACTGTACCGCCCCCTAATCCATTACATCTATCGGTTCTAAAAAAAACATAGTTATCTATATGCAGGGAGTGATCGGATATAGATGAATTGCACCATGTTTCCGTAATAAGTACAATAGTTGGATTTACAAGCAATAAAAGGGTTTTGAGGTGAGTAATTTTATTGGGCAGAGAGCGAGCATTGAACGAAAGAATAAGAAATTGAGAATTACCATGGTGAATCAGGTTAGAGTATAAATTACAATTGGTATTTATATGAATACTCGTAGGATTAGTTAAGGTGAGAGTTGTGTTGCGATCGGAAATAGATTCAACAACTTTGTCATCATTTGAAGTATGTTTATTGTTGCCGGCAGAAAAGCCGGCGGAAGTACAAAAAAAGTCTTGTCATTATTATTGGATATAATATTTGGTAAAGGAATAGTATTCATATTGGGAGCCGGACCAAGAAGGCTATCAGGTCTATGTGTGCGATCAAGTGGCCGTTTACAATTTACATTGCTATTTATACCTGACGTATAGGGAACATGTTCTAAACGCTTATTTCCAAGGTTTGTGGTTGATTTTGGCCCCTTCATAATTTGAGGAAGGTCGTGTGTTGTTAAAGATGCTTGAGATGGTTTGCTAGGTTCGAGTATATCGACGTTAAGCGTGTGGTCAGGCAGATAATTTTTATGACCAGTTTTCCCGTTATCCGTTGCACAGTCACTGTAACTGGTTGTTGCACTAACAGCGACTTGGACTGTGTTATCCCATTCGAAATCAGTACAACTACTTAAGGTTGAATCTAAGTCAACATTCTTAAAAGGATGAGCATCACCTACATTGGGACTACTTTCTTTTGGGCTTTGAAATTTAGGAGATTCAGAAGAGTTTTCCGGTGGTTGCATATTCGTAAAGTTAGATGTCCGCTTAGGATCGGACTTAATTTTATGACCTTTAGGATTATGATACGCTCGGGTGTTTGATGCTAGTAGTCTGTGGTTATCTCGGCCTGCTTTTCGTTGGCATGGTGTCCTATCTGGTAGAATCTTAATATCTTTGAAAATCTGTTTCTGTTTCAATGAATTGGCGGAATTTAAAAACTCACTAGCATCTACAAATGAGTTGAATTTGAACAAAATCGGTGAGTGCATATCAGGGTGACTTCTTTTTAGTCTTGAGCATACACATGGTACGTGTGTCATATTGCTGGCTCTAAGCAGACTAGTTTTGATATTTTTAAGGGCATTTGAGTCCGGTATATTAAACACAATTGCATTGCTAGATCGCCTTATTCTTTCAAATACCTCTGATGCAACACGATCTAAGAAGTTATTGATGTCATTCATTTGATCTGGAGTCTCTGTGAGGTTAGGGTTGATGAGATACTTGAGGGGATTGAGAATGTTCATGTCAACTTGCAGCCTTTTTATATCATTCGTATGGTTGCAGTTGTGATTATCATCATTGTTTACCAACACAGTCTTCAACACGTCTGGAATGGAGACAACTGGTAAAAGCTTGTCTGCTTCCGAATGAACGGAGTATCTCGTCTTATTGAAACTATCAGTAGCAATTTTAGATTGTGTAGTTTTTTAAGTTTGAGTGGGCGCCTACAAGCAGGGGGCTTTAATTTCTTTTGTTGCATTATAGAAAAGTGACGCATAGCAGATGGATTGAACAAAATGTTGGAAATAAAGATGAAAGAAAGAAAAAATCAATGCCGAGGACTGAAGTCTAGTAATCAAAACATATGCTTAACACAAGGGTGGATGTATCGAGAGGATTGGTGAAAGTGTAGAAAAACAATGGATAAGAATAGCAGGAAGGTATTAGTGGTGACAAAATATACTGTCATAAAAAATAAATAAACCTAAGACAGACACACCAAAGTGGAGAGGTGATTCCTGAAATTAAGTGATTCATATTATCCAAATACGATTTTGATGAAAGTATATGGAACAGTGAGTACAGTGCTTTGTCATACACGATTATATATATTTCTAGATATTAGGTAGAGATTCGAATAGATCCTGTAAATACATAAAGTACGTGTGTTGTAGCATACAAACACGATATAATGAATAGAATACAAATATGAAATTATATTCCTCGCCGAATATGATTAAATACGGTTTTTGTAATGACAGAGGAAGGTTATATCGTATAGCCAAAATGAATATACAATTATTTGATCATGAGTTATTGTATGAATATGATCATATATACCATCAATAAGTTAAAATTGAGATCTTATCGTATAGCATAAAATTTGCAGCTTAAACGTGAACAGATTATAATTGGATTGTCTTCCGTAATTCCAAGAAAAGATAATGCATCCAGCTTAGTGAGAATCCTAGAAAAAAGAAAAATGTAGACATTTTCGTAGCGCGCGCGTTGGATGTTATAAATGTCAGTATATAACTCCCCCCCGAGGGCATGCATCGGTGGAGGTATGCCCGATGTGAATTCTAAGTGCTTTGGAGGGAAAAAATTAATGTGCATCACCACAGGGTTGCCATTCCTGATCCCGCTTAGGTACCATGCGGAGTGGGGATGCTCAGGAGCCTTATTATGCTCAACTTGTTCACAAGAAATAATGGGCAAATCAGTTGACTTGGAAACATCATGAGGCTGTGGAACTGACTGATGTGAAACTGGATAATTCATATGTTTATTGTTCTCTTCAACAACTTCACATAATGTTCGCAAAAATGCCAACATTGCAATTATACGACCCCAGTTAATACATTCAAGAAATAATTCTTCTAGAACACTATGAAATTGACATCGTGTCATTTCTAAACGAGTTTGAAGTGAATCATCGCTCACATGACTAGCAGCACCGCTGGCATCACCATCACCAATTCTAATATCACTCTTTACCCTTGTGTTGGTATCACGAACACTAGTAACATCATCATTGACATTAATCATTGTGGTTTTGTTTGTATCTTCTGTACAACTTTTATCATCTATATTAATCATGTGCTCAAGTTCGGCTTTTGCAAATGTAAGCTTGTCCGGTGGTAGACGATGAGGACGTGCAGAAAGTGGCTGGTTTTTGGTGTTGATTCGATGCACCACGGAATGCTGGATGGTGTTTTTGCTGTATTCTGGTTTCGTTAACTTTCGAAATTAAGATAAAAGATTGGCTAATATGTCGTTTACTGGAGTGTTGATTTTAATACTATGTATATGATAGTGCGATCGAATTCAAAATACTTGGAGTTTTGTGCACGAATCGATGTTTTCGTTTTTTTAACATCGACTAATAAGTTGTAGAAGCTTAGGAAGTCTGCACCTAATATGGGGTGACGGACATCAGCGATAATAAACATCCAGTTTAGTTGACGTTTAATTCCCAAGTCTAATGTCAAGAGCTGTTCTCCAAATGTTTTTATTTCAGTTTTATTAGATGCTCTCAATGAATATTTTCCACATTTAGAAATAGATTTCTTGGCTAGCGTAACTGGGATAACACTGACTTCGGCTCCGGTGTCTACTAAGAATTTCTAGCCTGAAGTTTTGTCGAGAACGTGGAAAAAGTGACTAGTAGCATGACCAGTAACATTTGTCGGTACTACTGTCTGGTTGACACCTTTTGGCGAGGAAAATGACCTGAAAAATTTACAGGACGTAACACACTTCCTAGCTTTGTCACCATACTTTCTATGGTACCAACAGATGTCGTCATTTTCGTTTGTTCTTGAGTTGTCTTGGTTCTTACTCCTACGAAAACTAGAGCGAGACTTTCGAGATGTGAGATTGGAAATAATTGATTGTAACCTATCTAGCTTGTTTTCAAGACTGGCAACACTGAGTGCGTGCTGTGTACGTAAGTCGCTTAATTCAGCTGTTAAGAAAGCTATCTTCGGAGTTTGAGTGTCACTCGGAGTTTGTGATATCGCCTTCACGTAGGGTGTTGTGCCTGGCGTTACTTCTAAAACTTTGTCAGCCATGCTAGCTAGACTCTCTAAATCTAAAGGTTGGTTAGAAGCGCAATGAATTTGGCGGACTACTGTTGGTAAACGTTGCAGCCAAATTTCTCTCAGAAAAATGTCACCAAACTTAAAAGGTCCAGCCAACTGCCTCATATGGCATAATAATTGAGAGGGTGACTTGTCACCTAGCTCGTACTCATGCAGTATTTTTTGTAGCTTCTTTTCATCCGAAAGTGAGATACGCTGAATAATGGCCTGTTTCAACTGATCATAGGCATTTGATATAGGGACATTATCTATGAGGTCTGCTACCCCAGATGCTAACTCAGTCGGTAGAATTCCAAGCACAAAAGAGTAATTCGATTCCTGTGAACGAATGTTACGACGCTGAAACTGCACTTCCACCTGTGCAAACCATATACGTGGGCACATTTATCACGTTTAGAGCGTGTAACTCTGTTCGGTCGTTATCCTGGCTAATGCCTGCAGATTCACATGAAAACATAACAAATATAGAAAAAATAATCACTACCAAGAGAAAAATTGGCGCCGTAATGTTTGTAAGTGATACCAAAATTACAATACCAATATCAAAATTACTTTACCTGTAAGTTTTCTAGGCTCTGGAATAATTTACCCCAAACTATCCGTATGTTAAACTCTCTTCCATTGTTTGTTCGCTCAATTAATGCTTTTTGCTCCTCTGAAAATGCATTAAATGGTCTAGCGCCTGCAAGTGTATCTTACTCCACAAGTGAGATTATAGGAACTTTAAATGTTTAATCTCTTACTTGCTATCATTGTTTTGTTGTTCCGTGCTCTTTGCTTTAATCTTACTTTCTCTAGTTGTAGATAATTAATAATAACTCTCTCTGGCACTGGAAATAACCTTACAGAACAATGTTGATCAATCATCATGCTATCCGCTTAATAAAAAAATGACAAGTTCCCTGGTGTTGCATTGGCTTGCCATGACATATGCCATATTTAAACTATTTATCAATTACTAAACTAGCAAACATAAAACAATCTTATATTTCATGTTTGTTCTCTACATTAAATGTTGATTTTTATAACAATCTGATCAGGCCTGTAAACTGGTGTGAATTCTGTGAATATTATTTTCAAAAGTTATTATTATTATTATACGGGCTCACCAGATTTGTGGTGGACCTTAGCGAAAGAGCTTAGTTAAAATATAACAATACGCAAAGTTACCAACAATATACCAAAAGAATTAACACTACAAACCTAAGCGTGTGTCTATGAGCAACGCAAAAGGTAACAAATTACAGTCAAATTATAAAAAGGTATATTGAGCAACAAAATGGTAACAGTGTTATGAAATGAATGTTACTTGTAAGCTGCTTTATGAGATAACAACCACAAATAAGTTCACTTGGTTAACAAAGGTTCCTCTGCACGTGATGGCACCAACAGCAAAAGGAAGAAGATTAGATCCAGTAGTATTATTCAGTAATGATCCGGGCCAAAGCTCCAACGTAGTGCGTAATGGCCAAAAGGATGTTAATACTAATATAATCTTCAATCAAAGGCCGTGGCCGTTAAAGCAGAAGAATAGACGGCGGATAAAACGTTTATATTTCAAGAATCGCGGTAGTGAAGTAGAGTTATATATAACCAAAGAAAAGTATTCGTTTCGTTACCATTGATACAGAAAAACAATAGATATCGAATATAAATGTGGTTACATTAAAAATGTGAGAACTAGGAAAAGTATGTAATTTTTAATTTGTTGTGACAAAAAATCACTATAAATAAATGTCACTAAATATAGTTGTCAGACAAGCAATGATGAATTTTCGTCAATCTCTAACATGTACTTTTGGTCACAGTGGGTTCGTACCCCAACAAGGGTGATAATATACTTGATCTAATATTTAGTAGAGATGTCATCCCCCTATCTGTACAAGTATACAACGAGTTTGAGAGCAGTGATCATGAGATCGTAGCTTGTGCTCTCCCTATCTATCCCTCCTACAACCGACCAATTCAAAGAACTTGCAATTATAGACAGTCCATGCCTATGTATCCAACTTCACAAAAAGTATCAAAAATACTCGTGCTCTATCCTGTTTAGAGTCGATTCCCATTCATTAGCGGAATGTTTGGAAGACTCTGAACAGCTAGTCTGTGCGCATACGAAGTTTAAAAGCTCTCGTATAGTCTCAGACAAAACCACCAATCAAAGACTAACGCAAAAGCGTACCATGAACGAAAATAACATTGTTGAGGCCACAACAAATGTGATCGCGCCAGCAGCTGAACCCACTGGAGCAGTTAACCTATCTCATATTAGTCAGTGTACTGGTTTGCCAATGCAATAGGCTAGTTTGCCTCTCATAGCTCTAGTGGCCCTAGATAACCAGGACATATCTGATGGAGACACCAATGCCATTCTTTCCAGTGTAATATCTGAATTCTGCAATCAAACACCTAATTCTATTGTGAAGGCTCCTAAAACACTGTTAAGACTAAAAATTCTATACCAATTAAGAAGAAGGTAAATAGAAAACCTCCTGGTTCTAGACCGAATACCAAAAATATGTCAACGGCCTTACTGAACAAAAGTATAATTTCTGAAACCATGCTTAACCCTACCCATCGTGAGGGAGTTTATAAGGACACATTTCGTTCATATGTCACACGAGACGGCCACTAAAACCATCATGTAGGCAGGCCTGCTATTAGACAGACGGCAATGAACCAACGTGCCCCATGGTTTCCCTCAAATGTTATAAATACTAAACTTGCAAGATGTAACTCTTATCATCACTTTCGCAATGGGGAAGATGGTATACTACGTTACGCACCATTAACGCAACCCCAGCTTGCAGGCCCCTGTCTTAATTGTTCACCAAGACAATTACAACAAATTATTCAACCTTACTAAGATAAGGATTTTTTCGGCCTCCAGAGATCCCTTGTTCCACTAGCACTACAATTCGCTCATGCTATAGCCCATGCGTTCCGCAAACTCATTAAAACATAGTCCAGGCATAGCTAGAACTCATACCATCGATAAGGATACTCTCGGTTTTTTTACACTACACACTCCTTTTCTAAACTTATTACTTATTAACGCACGTTCACTTGTGAAAAAAATTTCAGCCTTGAGAATCTTAGCCTTAGTTTAATACAGCTAAATGTGGATGGTTATGCTTCCGTGATACATCACTCAACCTCGATCTTATCATAAATGGTGAAGTGTTATCTAGGTTACACACAGTAGTAGAACTAGGTCTTAGATACTCCTACAACTTGTCGTTTACTGAACAGATAATGAAATAAACTTCCAAGTCTCAACGCTTTATAGGCTACATAACACGGAACCTTCATTACAACGAATCACATATCCTAATGTACGTTCTCAAATCATCAGGCCATCCACTTAAGAAAAAAATGACAAGTTCCCCGGTGTTGCATTGGCTTTCCGTGATATATGCCATATATAAACTACTTACTAATTACTGAAGCAGCAAACATAAAACAATCTTATATTTCATGTTTGTTCTCTACATTAAATGTTGCTTTTTATATCCATCTGATCATGCCTGTAAACTGGTGTGAATTCTGTAAATGTTATTTTCAGAAGACAAAAATACCTTTCATATGCTACTTGTTCCATGCACTGATGATTGCACGAACCTCCGGCAATCTTCAATGATGAGCCCTATAATAAGAACCGTAATAAAGGCAGACTGTCTAAATTTGCCACATCCACGAGTGCTTGACAACTCAATTGCTCCGGTGGAGCCATTTATGTAGGGTATACGATTCGGCAATTCCATCATCTCATGGAGCTTGATACACAACAAAATTCCATATTAGGGAATATATTCGAGAGAGAAGAGGTGAACAGTATGAGTGAAAACAACATTTACAAATACAAAGATAAGTGAAATGAACAGGTCTTTCAGTGATATTGGAAATAGTAAGGGTGACGAAAATTATCAACAAGTAATAACTTGGAACATATTCCCTAATACAATCAAATATCTACAGATGTCCTTTCCAAGTTAC